TGCCTGTGGGCCTAACGGGTGGTCTTGGGCTGAACTCGTCCACTTAGTCGTCTCAGCTGTTGTGCCGGCCAGGGATCTGCGGCATGCCCTTTCTCGTATCCCTTGGCCTGGTTACCGGAATTCCACCGGGCTTGCATAGGCCGAGTGCGCTGCAAAGTTGCACCCGTAGTGTAAAGCAGGGAATCCGTCGTCGGCCCAACGGCAGAGCGACCCAAAGAGTATGGACACCGCAGAAAAGGCGGGGCGGAAACCTTGATCTGTGTTGCTGGTCCCAGCCGGACCATAGCGGCCAAGGGCGTTGGCAGTGACATTGCTGACACCGACACCTCTTCCCGACATGGCCGGCTCGATTTGTGGACCAGCCCTGTCTTCCTCCTCGTCCGACATGAGGCCGTCCAGCCTACATTTCAACTGGCCTGCAGACTACAACGCCAGCCGGGAAGCCCGAGAGGATAAGTGAAGCTAGTGCGAGATGTAGTGTACCCCTAGACGGGCCCTAAAATGAGGCCTTTTGGACTCTGGATGGTACAGATATTAGCAGTCGCGATGCCAGATTACGTCATCAGCAGTTCTGGGACCATTTATTTAACTGCTCATCTAGGACTTGGGACCTCCGTAGTTCGAAGGCCGGTTTCAGCAGGGCCATTGGAGGCTCTAGTTCTCACGGCTAGCATTAACTGACGTCATCAAGAGCCAGGCCGATTTAAGGACGGATAGATGAATTTTACCTCGACAATGTTTGTAGACCTCGAGATGCGAGTGAATTTCACTGAGACCCACTTTCCAAAATGCATTCTCATCTCAACTGTACTGGAAGCCAGCCTCCAACTCGCCTGAACTCGTCTCATCAGCATCTCCAGCGGGACACGAACCTGGATAGTGCAGCTTATAGTCTCGACACGTTAGGCAGTACGCCACATCGCCACAAGCCCCCTTGCGTCAGAAGACAATGTGAATTTCAAAGAGGGCAAGGCAAGGCGTTTTTACACATCAGATTCTGTGGTGGGATTGTTGAATATGTGAAATTCAATGGAAAATTAATGTCTATTCATAGCATTGTGGGAAAATTCGACTACCAGTCCTTCATCGCCTTGAATAAATAGGCTGAATATGACTGACCAAACCCTGTCCGAAGTTCTCTGGCATAATTTTCAGAGTCGGACCGTGGGCATGGTACATTCACAGATATCTTTGGCATTGTCAGTGAGTATAGCCATTCTTAGAACCAAGCTAAAACTCGTCAAGGAGACAAGTAATGCCTATCACCGAACTAACTTTATGTCGAACGATTGTTTTATTACTGCTAATTCTTTCCTGGTACATCTACCCATCTCCTATCCTCGTATCTCACTCGTTCCCTATCACCAAATTCTAGCTTGTTTATGCTGGATTATTTCAGCATAGAGAAAGAGATATATATACGAAGATAGGAGTGATATCACAAACATCCGACAAAAAGTTTGTCAAAGGATGGAATTCACTTGCCACTTGGACAAGTTGTAGCTTGCTGCTAAGACTGGCGAAACTCGATGCTGACGAAATATTGAGAAAGCACCCAGTTGATGGTTCGAAGTCGGAAGTTATCTTGACCACTATAGCAGACGACTTTGGACAAGGCGCGCTCATCCAGGTCGACCTGACAACAGAGCCCTGCCTGGAAAACGAGGTCAGACGACTTTTGTACAGGGAAAGGAGGTGAAACCACCTTAATCTTCAAATTAGAGACTAAATCACGCAAGTCTGGCCTATCCAATCCGACTGCGGCAAGGTTGACACTTGTTTTGGACGGAATTTGTCTCTTGTCCGCTTTGTCTGGGTCAGGTGAATTTGATCTTGGCTTTGTTGGCTTGTGCTGTGAGCCTATGTTAACTCGATAATCTGTCACTTTGATCCCCGGTCGTAAGACCTTCAGAGACTGTATCATCATTATATTAGTGAGCTTACCATAATTGCGTGTCTCAGTGTAGTTTCAGCGTTGCTGCGTCCATCTGGCCACATATTTCATTTGGCAAAAGTTGAAGTTTAAAGCAAACTAAGTTTACCGCAAATAAAATTTAATTTGGGTTTGTTGAAACAGCAAACTTGTTTTCTATTCAAGTAGTTTTTGAGTGTATCAGTAATTCTTCAATAAGATGATTTAGGGACAGATGCGATGAGTAGTCTCAATTGACGATCCAACTGACAAATGTGAGCTGAGAGATGCCTGACTTGCCTTAAATGTCGCATCTGCTCTGCAATTCATTGGCCTTCGTGGCCGAGAATTGGAGTGGAGTGGAGTGGTAGCCTCGCCAAAATGCTAACGACCCGGTATCGAATCCAGCTGAGGGTGAGGATGAGACCCAGATGAAGTCCTGAATACAGTCCACCCAGTATAGAAATGCATTTTGGGAGGCAAAACTAAGTAAAATGCAAACTCATTTTACAGAAGGAAAAATTCAATTATCAGTTGTTAACTCACGTTAAGCGACTTAGGATGACCAAGATCTTATTAAAGCAAACTTGCGTTTGTCATTACAAGTGACGATGTCATTTAACCTTAACATAGGTAGGCTTTGAGACCTCCATTAATACTTGCCTTGGAGCATAGTCACCTTGATTGTGGGTTTTTTGTCACTTTGCGATGAGTAGGGCCTAAAAATTGACGATAGTTTTGAAATATAATCTCACTGAATAAAAAATAACATTCTCTTGCAGAAAGTAGGCCATGTTTTATGAGTAAAAAGTGGATCACACAATCAGTACCCGCTTCACAGAATTTTACTCTTCGATTAATAAGATACTAAGCACATAGATGAACCACTTTGATACTTTCAAAAATGCGTTAATCCCTGCATCTGTTCACCCCAAACTGTAAACATAATAAGATACAAACAGCGACTATTCAAATACAAAGCAAAGAAGATTACGTCCCCTCTACAAGCTATACATTTGGTTGTCATGTATACGCTATCATTTAGGAGCAAACCGATTCAATATCTGAAAGTTCCCGACTACTCTTTCTGAATGCCCTTCTTGTTTATGAAATGGGAATCGTTTGTCGTCAACCAATTTTAATCTCCTATTCAAAGACAATACAACAAAATTTGCTAAGACTATGTGCATGTTAGAAGATAGGTTCATTCCCTGGTGTTCGTTTGTCGATTAACCACCTCCTATATTGAATTATGATTATGCGGATATCAGCAATTTCCTTTCGCGTAGTTTAATTATTTGATTGTTCTGGAGGTAGAAAGGTTTCGATTTGTTACTGTTCGGGACTGATAGTGACTCTGTAAACAATGACTTGAAGGGCAGTTAAATAAGAGTTAGCTTCCCCCTAGGTTACATAAGGTTTTGAAGGGCTGATAGTTGAATTCTCCCAAGATCTATTGATATTTTCGAAAACCTACTCAACACGGATGTAAAGAGGAGTGTATTTTAATTGACGTAATATCCCATCAATGCGTCGTATCTAGGGTCGTTATTGGTCTATTGCAAAAGCCTATCAAAACTGGTGCACCAATTTAACAACCGGGTTCTCGATAAACAAGAGGAGAAACCGATACGAGCATGTAGTCAATAAACAATCATTTTACGGGTGATGTGATTTGAGATTGCAGCTGGTCTTGTCTTTGCAATCATGTTTTGCTCATTTTTATTTTAGAAGTAGGCTTTCAAGACTACCGGTAAGGCAGTTATATGAGATATATTCACCCAATTTCGTTTAAGGTCAGAAATGACTGACGATTGCATTTTCCCACAATGATATGGGTAGAACT